CCGAAAAAAAAAAAAAAAAAAAAAAAAAAAAAACTTACTCCTGATAATGATGTTGTGCCTTAAGGCAGCATCAGCACCTACACCTACTGGGAGCTTACAGGAGGCGGAATCTCCCATCACCCACACACAATGAATCAGAATCTGCATTTAGGTGAGATTCCTAAGACAGGTTCTCAGCCCTGAGTGCACACCAGAATCACCTGGGGAGCTTAGTTACTGATGCCTGGTGACACCCCAGAGATTCCGGTCTGGAGTAAGGCCTGAGAAAGCCCTGGTGATTCTAATGTGCACTGGGAACCCCTGTCCCGCAGTCCCAACCAGCGGTGAGTACTGGCAGCCTGTGGTGTTTGATAAGGGACCTCACATTCAGGGGCCCGGCAGGCCTAAGCCAGAACCTCCCACCCGGACCAATACGTGTTGCCATTGGTATAAGCAGACCCTCCTGTAACCTGTGGCTCACAAATTTGGTCACTAACTCCCATGCTGCTACGAGGTGACTCGTTAGAACCTGGTGGGGGCAGGGTGCAATGAGGCACTAATTAAGTTGTTCCCTTCGACACAGCGATCCACCTCTAGGGATCTACTCCACAGAGACACTCACACGTAAGATACGAAGTGGTCATGTCCAGCTATTTAAAGAGTGAAAAAGTGTTCTTAACATACGGAAATCACACCATCACGCTGTACACCTTAGACTTACACAGTGATGTATGTCTAATGTATTATTTCTCAATAAAACTGGAAAAAATGCTATTAAAATTCGTTCCACTTCTAAAAGAAAAAACAAGTGAAAAACTGGAGACAACTCAAATGTTTCCTGACATGAAATTATAATATACCCACTTAAGATAAAATACTATAGTCATTAGAGTATGAAATAAAATTCATATTTTATGGCAAGACAAGAAAAATTTAAACATAAATTCTCTCTGCCCTTTGGCCTCCTCTCTCCCCTCTACTGTGCATTGCGTATCTGCATCAAGCAGCAACCAAACCTCCCCATCAGCAGAAACAACTGCTCAACCATAAAGAGCAATATTTTCTAGCACCACCAAGACAACTCCTTAAAGATAACATTTGCGCTTTTTTGGCGGGGGGGGGGGGGGGGGCGGCTATGGAGGGATGTGGACCATATTTAAAGTCTTTATTGAATTTGTTACAATATTGCTTCTGTTTTATGTTTTGTTCTTTTGGCGGGGGGGGGGGGTGGTGTTGGGGGGCTGGGAGCAGCACACCACTCAGCACACGGGATCTTAGTTCCCGACCAGGGATGGAACCCATGCCCCATGCAGTGGAAGGGCAGAGCCTTAATCACTGGACCACCAGGGAAATCCTGCATTCCTTCTTAATCTTGTAAGGGGCCAAGATGACCCATGACCCACTACTCGCCAGATAGTGTAAGCTGTCAATAATACATCATCTAGTGTACAGCCCTCTCAAAAAACTTACGTAAAACTGTTTTGACTTTTTTTTTTGGCTGTGTTTTGGTCTTCATTGCTGCACGCCAGCTTTCTCTAGTTGCAGAGAGCGGGGGCTACTCTTCATTGTGGTGTGTGGGCTTCTCATTGCTGTGGCTTCTCTTGTTGCAGAGCATGGGCTCCAGGCACATGGGCCTCGGTAGTTGTGGCATGCAGGCTCAGTAGCTGTGGCTTGTGGGCTCTTCAGCGCAGGCTCAGTAGTTGTGGCGCACGGGCTTAGTTGCTCCGCGGCATGTGGGATCTTCCTGGACCAGGGCTCGAACCCGTGACCCCTGCATTGGCAGGCGGATTCTTAACCACTGCGCCAACCACAAACAGCAATATTTATGTCCCTGTTTTGACTTCTAACAGGCGGCGAAACAGTTCTCAGAGCTTTCTGAGAAGCTGTTACCACGTTATAATCCTCAATTTGGCCCGAATAAAATTTTCCGTTTCTTTCTTAGATAGACTGATTAATTTTTTCATCAAAAAGAGAATGACATAAACTTGTAACTACTGACATAGAAAAGCATCCAAAATACTCTGTTCAGGTAAAAACAAACAAACAAAACAAGAAACAGAAACAATACCATGCGTAACAAGGATACTTTAATAAAAATGGTAAATACTAGCATACACATGGGGAAAAAGCAGTTATTTTGAAAGCTGAAAAGGTAGTACTAAAAGAGACTTTTTATCATTTGTTTTTCTAGAGATTACCAAAGAAACCAAAATGTTCTTAGAAAACACATGAAATAAATCAGGTAAGAACATTCTCAGAGGGCTTTAAAATGTGAGGAAATTGATAACACTGCAGTAATCACACACTGGTCCCAACGTAGACATTTTAAATATGAGCTTTATTTTAAATTTAAAGAAACAATGAAAATAAACACTTTTTACAAATTATATCAAACACTTAAAACATAAAACATAATCTAGGAATGTTAAACAATAATTCTTTTTTTTTTGTAACAATAATTCTTAATTCAAAGTAATGACATTCATAGAATACATCTTGGTGCTAGCCAATATGGAGTTTACTTAAATCTAGTATTTTTTATAAGCTTAACCATTAATCCTTCCTAAAATTCAATGACTATGACTCAACTTTATGAGGTTAAGCTAACCTTCTATGCAATACTCTCCTATAACTTTTTCAAATACAATTTATACCAGTGAGGAAATTATTAAAACATATAAATTATGCTGAGGGGCTTGATTAAAAGGCTGTCTATATAGAGAGATGCATCTCACCTTAGAAAGTGCGCGCACACACACACACACACACACACACACACACACACACACACTTAATCGAAAATAAAATGCCAGGACATTCTCTTAGTTATGCTACACAGCAAACTGCACGTTTATAAATGTCATTCTATTATGTATGAACTGAAAAACATATATTTTTTAAAAAGCCCTTGACATGGGGGGAGTGGAATATGCCTGCATTAAGTGCAGAAACTCAGAGCTTTATGAACTGCCTGTCTCCAGCTGGCTTCCAGGCACCACTGAAAACTGTCACCCTCAGAAAGACAAGATGGTCTTGTTAATGATTTCCACGGCCTCCAGAATCTCATCCTCCTTGATCACAAGTGGAGGTGCAAACCTGATGATATCACCATGGGTTGGCTTGGCCAGAAGTCCATTATCTCGAAGTCGCAGGCACACCTTCCAAGCATCATAATCTAAAGAAAAACCGTCAAACTTGTATGCTGATCCAAGATAAACATTTAAACATTCCCTTGCAGCGTGCATGGGCCAGGGCAGCCTGACAAAACAGAATTCCCAGTACCTAACTCAAGAAACGCAGCTCTGAGTTGCAAGCTTGCTTTGTTCTTACCCTTAAAAATGAAGTTATTTTTCAGCACTGGTTTGAATGGTATGATTAGACATGTTTTTTTTCAGTTTTTCGTAAGTGAAAAAGACCTAGCAAAAAACTTACATGCTAAGGCAGATGTAATTACACAACGAACCAATACAAAAAGAACTGGGATATGATACAGATAACTGGCATAGAATAAGCAATACTCAAAAAGCAGTGAACACTACACATTGCTAACCTGGATTTGCTTCCTGAGCTGGCAGAACTAGACTCTCTCATCATTTTCACTCTCACGACTCTCAACCCTGGCTGCATCAGAATCACTGAAAGGGTCGCGGCCAATGTCTGGGCCCCACTCCAGACTCATCAAATCCGTATCTCTGCAGCGAGGCTAGGCTTGGATTAATTTGTTAAAAGGCTCCCCAGGTGATTCTAAAATGCAGTCAAGGTTAAAATCACTGCTTTAAAAGGAAGGGTTAGGGCAAGAAAATCCGGCAAGGAACGCTTAAGGATTAGAAATGATGTGTTAGACACTAAACACTCAGTTAAGTGGCAGCTGGGGTTGTTTTTATTATCGACATCATCATCATCATTCCTATTATCACTATTGCTCCTACTACCTCTACCGATATGCAAAGCATGAAAGTGAGTGAGGAAAGGAGAGTGAAGAGGAAATGGGACTGCAAAGTGCTCTGTGCAGACTTCCTAACAGAAAATAAACTGAAATCTCCAAGTACTGCATAAATAACCTAAGGCAGAATAACAAATGACTTAAAAAAATGAAAATAGGTGAAATTAGTTATATGTGCCTTCGTGTAGGACAGAGCTACACTTTTTTTTTTTTTTTTTTCCGGTACGCGGGCCTCTCACTGTTGTGGCCTCTCCCGTTGCGGAGCACAGGCTCCGGACGCGCAGGCTCAGCGGCCATGGCTCACGGGCCCAGCCGCTCCGTGGCACATGGGATCTTCCTGGACCGGGGCACAAACCCATGTCCCCTGCATCAGCAGGCAGACTCTCAACCCTGCGCCACCAGGGAAGCCCGGAAAGAGCTATATTTTTAACACCATTAATATAAATCAGGTAATAAGAGTATTAGGCAGAGCCTAAAAGACTTGGTCAATAGGAGGCCAGTCAACAGTTTCAAACAGAGGAAACCAACGACCAGATAAAATACCAAACATGTTTGGAGCTCTTAACAGTAATAACTTGTAAAATATTTTGTCTCCGTACCTTTGGTTTCTCTAATAACAATAGCATTTAATAATCCTTTTCCTCTTACAGCCGTTACAATATCAGAAGGCAGCTTCATGAGCTCATTTCTCAAGATGATACCCATTTTCTCTGCATTTTCAGCAAGGTTTTCTTCTTCCAAAACCTATGTTTGAAGAGAAATTACACAAATATTAAGATTGCCTTTTCTTTTACATTGTTCTTTGGAGGGGAATGCGGACTGTAAGCACAGGAAGAACATGATCAGATACAGACCAGAGTAACTTACCTTCCACTGCTACTTTCCAAAGCCTACACCAGTCTGATTTCTAATCATCTAACATACGCTAGCTCAGACAGAGCCTTTCTTTAGTCATAAACCCATAACCAATCTGATTCTGTGACAAAAGAAGGATTAAAATTTGTTTAATGCAACTGATATATTTTCTTCTTAGGTGAATAAATCAATGGACTAAATATACTTTAACTTTTTAACTGCAATAGAGTTCCCTTTGTTTTTTTCCCTAAAAAGTCCATCCTCAGAGATAATAATTTTATGCCTTTTGTAGGCACTTGAGGAATAAGTCTAAAAGCATTCAAATCCACACTTTAACAACAACAAAAACAAAAAGCCACATGTGCTACGCCAGAGGCTTCACAGGCCAGGTCCAGTCACAGAGTGAGAGTTCTATGTGGACAGGCCAGGGCCTACGGGCCAAAAGCCCCAGGAGACTGCAAACCTGGGAAGCCCCTGGAGGATTCCCGTCTACTAGGCCAAGGTTAAATTACTGTTTGAGAAGGCCTTGCCCCTAAACCCTTTCCTCTGTACTGCATGTTCTGTAATACTCGGCAACCTTATTACATTTCTTATCACACCAGTGGGGGCTCAAACCTAAAAGGCACTTCAACACTACCTCCAGGACTAGCTACTGTACAGCTGCAATCAGTTTTTACCTCCAGGGCCGCGATGGCCACTCGGCAGCCTAGTGGGTTGCCACCATACGTTGAACCATGTTCCCCTGGTTTAATGGTCAGCATTATTTCATCGTCACACAACACTGCGGATACCTGAAAGACAGAGACTTCAGCGCTGACCAAGTCTTTTCTCAGATGAACGCTTCTTATTCTTACCAGGAACACAAATATTTATGAAGCTGATACTAAATTTGACATAAACTTTCAACCAACAAGTGCTACACATCTGCCACCTTAACTAGCAGTGACAAACTGAGTGATGCCTTAACACGTTCCAAGCACATCAGGCACACTTCAATGGCACATAATAATAGCATTTTGGAACCAAAAGAAGAAAGCTATTTCTGCAGTGATATAATTTAGAATTCTTTCCACTCCCAAGGTGAAATGCTTTGTTTAACTGTTTAGAAAACCATGTTCTGCACTATATATTCAGAGCCCTTTAGTCCATACCAATTGTTGGCTCTGAATAGCAAACCCAAGAAAAGAATTACAGTTAAACATTAATTTTTTCCAATCTCTACATTAATTGGTCAGTCATGGTTTTAAACAATTAGTAATACTATGCCTCAGAACTATGGGAGAAAAGCATAAAGGTTACAGGATTACTTCTGGGATAAAATGCTTCCATCCAAAACAAATGCAGCAGAGCAAATCCCAAGGCACACGCAATTTTTCAGTTAAAATAACTAAGTGGGTCACCCCATGGAACTCTGAAATGTTTTTATTACACGTATTCCAGGTGACCTATACATTACTAAGTAAAACCAAATCATCAGAAAGGCACTATTGTCACAGTCGGCTAACGTAAAAATATCTTAAGGATTCATGAGAATAGGGAAGAGAAAGAGAGGTTGAACATTGGACTTACAGGGTATACACCACCAGAAAGTGCCTTTCCTAGAAGGACCATATCAGGTCTGACATTTTCGTGATCAATAGCCAGCCATCTACCAGTTCTGGCCAATCCTGTCTGTATTTCATCAGCAATAAACAGAACCTATTGGAAAACAACAAAACAGCATTAATTATCATTTTCATTTCCATAGGGAAATAGTGATCTTTATTTCACTCCTCCCTGCACAAATCTGTCATTCTGACATCCCCTCAGATTTGTGAAAACATTTTAATTACCCACACAACTTCAGGAGTGTCCTGTGAAAACCCTGCAGACACACAGTTATTTCTGTGTCAGGCCACTCAGTCCCCAGAGGCCCATTCTGCACTATTCTACAAAGTGGTAAGGCACTTAGCCAAAGGGTTTTGTGGGGGGTTTCTGAACATAACTACTCTCTGGGACTAAATTCCCTCATTTATTCCACAACATTTATTAGTAAAGAGGGAGAGAGAGCTTAAATTCTGGAGCAAAGGGATACAACAGAGGGTTTGAGAAGGACCAGAGTACAGACTGCCAGAGCAGAGAGGAAGGAACCGTGGTTAGCGCCCAGAAGTCTGCAGCTCTGCCAGGGCCCAGCCAGTAGAAAGTCAGCTTCTTTGCAGCCTGCTGCTAGAAAGTTCTATAACCACTAGAAAGTTCTGCAGCTCTCAGAATGAAGTGTCCCTCTAGTGGAGAGGTGATGTAATCTTCGCATTTATCCTATTGACCAAACCCTAAGAGAGGCAGGCAGGTGGGCAGGTGTGCAGGTGGCTGACCTGGTGCTGGGTGCAGAGCTCTCGCACGCCCACAAGGTAGCCTGGATCTGGAACAACAACGCCTGCTTCACCCTGAATTGGTTCCACCATGAACGCGGCAACGTTTGGGTCCTGAAGTGCACGCTACAAAAACAGCATGAAAATGTTCTTAGTAACTTCCTTTCAAACCTATTTGGAAATCTGAAATCACATAATGCGCATATTTTCCCATTAATAATAAGTGTGCAAATTAAGTTTTCACACTACCTTATATTCTGACTTCAAAGTATAACTTTCCTGACTGACATTCAATTACCAAAAGCTCTAAATACCTCAGCTTTAAGCTACTCCATCCTTTATTTTCTAATATATACTTAAATGTACTGTAAATAAAAACTAATGAGGGACTTCCCTGGTGGCACAGTGGTTAAGAATCCGCCTGCCAATGCAGGGGACACGGGTCCGAGCCCTGGTCCAGGAAGATCCCACATGCCGCGGAGCAACTAAGCCTGTGCGCCACAGCTACTGAGCCTGCGCTCTAGAGCCTGTGAGCCACAACTACTGAGCCCATGTGCCACAACTACTGAAGCCTGTGCGCCTAGAGCCCATGCTCCACAACAAGAGAAGCCACCACAATGAGAAGCCCGCGCACCGCAACGAAGAGTAGACCCTGCTCACCACAACTAGAGAAAGCCTGCGCGCAGCAACGAAGACCCAACGCAGCCATAAATGAATGAATGAATGAATGAATGAATGAATGAATAAATTTTAAAAAATAATAATGAAAGTGGCCTTTTAAAAAGCCATTAAAGAGAATTCCCTGGTGGTCCAGGGGTTAAGACTCTTTGCTTCCACTGCAGGGGGGCACAGGTTTGATCCCTGGTCAGGGAAATAAGATCCCACAAGCCCCGCAGCCAAAAAAATTTAAATAGATACATTAAAAGTGTATCTTTTTACTTTACAATTCTTCCACTTCATAATTTTAAAAAGCTGGCTGAATGGCTGAAAACTGACTAATTTTGTCTATTAAAGTAATTAACAGGTAATACCCAAGTTAATACTTATGCAGGAGATAAATCTAAAGTGGTTAGTTGGTTGTCAGGATTAGACCACAGAACCTGGTTTCCCCATGTTGGAAACTTGGAAACTAACTGACCATTACAGAGAACAAGGGTGAATGCTGGCCTAACTTTAATATAACAGATTCTCAGTACAATCATATATCTGTTTTTAATTCATACATTCAACAAATTTAAGTTCTATTTACTATGAACTAAAGCACCACGATGCTAAATGAAGTACCTCAAGAGCAGGCAGATCATTATATGGAATGATTTCGAAACCCGGCATAAATGGTCCAAAACCATCGTAACTGGTTGGGTCTGTGGAACTGGAGATAGCAGACAATGTTCTACCCCAAAAGTTTCCAGCTAGAAAGAAGAAATAAACAGTCATTATTTCAATCAAACCCCCCAATGTAATAAGCACTGTTCCCCCCCAAAATGCCCTAGGAAGCTTGATTTTCAAAAAAGCAAGGGTTTGCTTTAGAAAGCCTCCAGTGAGCTCATTTGTTTAAACAAAATCTGATAGTAAACACCCTGGTTCATATGACTGAGGTCTGGCCTTGCAATTACTGTTTTAGGCACTTCTCTACTGAGCCTCTGAAGTGTAATATATAGCCCCTAAGGATAGGTATTTGTCTTTTCTTTCAATAATCCCAAGCCCTAACAAGTGAAGCATTCAATGCTTGTTTTTCTAGAGACGGTTTTTCTAGACACATTTATTATAGTGATATGAGCAAGAGACTACCCTTCATAGAGAATTAGCAGTTTTCCTTTTAAAAATCCAACACTACAGGCTAACTATTCAATAGAATGAATTTTAAATTTCATTTGGATAGAATATCCTCAAGCAGTCCGAACACTTTCAATTTGCCTTCCTTGATGTTATAAGTTGTCATGTGCTAAAAGACAGACATCTGCCTTTGTTCAGGAACAATTTTTACCCATTAATTTATTTCATTAATAATTTGAGGACTGATTAATAATGTCAGGCACGGGGCTTCCCTGGTGGCGCAGTGGTTGGGAGTCCGCCTGCCAATGCAGGAGGCACGGGTTCGAGCCCTAGTCCGGGAGGGTCCCACATGCTGCGGAGCAACTGAGCCCATGCACCACAACTGCTGAGCCTGCGCTCTGGAGCCCACGAGCCACAACTACCGAGCCCGTGTGCCACAACTACTGAAGCCTGCGCGCCCTATAGCCCATGCTCTGCAACGAGAGAGGCCACCGCAATGAGAAGCCTGCGCACTGCAATGAAGAGTAGCCCCCACTCACCGCAACTAGAGAAAGCCCGCGCGCAGCAACGAAGACCCAACGCAGCCAAAAATAAATAAAATTAATTAATTAATTAAAAAAATAATAATAATGTCAGGCACTGTTCTAGGTGTCAGGCATAGAATGATGACTGGCAAGCTCCCTGCCATCAAGGAGCTTCTACACTAATAGGGAAGAAACACCTCAACGTAAACTAGTGAAGCAAATGCACAACGTAATTTCAATGTGGTTAAACCCAAGGAAGAAAAGAAACAGTGGAATAAGAGAGGCTTGGAGGGTCTCCCACGTGTTGTTTTGGTTTTTTTTTTAATATCTTCCCACCACTTCTGCCAGCAGCAACTCAATTAACCCAGTACTGAATTATTCTAAGTTGGCTTCAAAGCATCCATAAACACTACCCTTGCAAAGCCTCTCTCAGCTATGAGTACTATGAATAATCCCCACTTGACTTGTCCACAAGCAACAGCGTATTGATTCTGCCCAGACTTAAGACAAAACGCACACTAGACCATAAGCCTACTTGCTCTCCTGCATCGGCCTCAGGAGTCTCACACCCCGCAGCTTACCCTGCAGTATAAGGGACGTGCAGCTGGGGACAGTCTTCTGTCTCCACCCACTGACTCACCAGCTTCTTTCAACACCTGGGTGAAACACCTTTGCACCCTGTGCTAATGTGAGAGAGACTGGACACAGTCTGTAAGAACTAAATCACCAGAAATGCCATTTTTGTTTGCAAGAGACAGCTTTGTTGTCCTACAACTAAGGTACAAGATTCCAAAATGGCAGACCACAGAGCTGTACAGAGACTTCGGAAACAGGAATCTGTCACCCCCACCCCCAAACACCAACTACGGCTGGCCGTTAGATGAAGTCTGGATTCTGTTATATTATGGGGTTTATAATTTAACTGCGTGTGTCCACAAGGCAAAATATTTAATGATTTCAACCGTCACAAAAATGAATCTTGACCATGTGAAGTGACAAACTTACCCATACTTTATGTTTTAAAAAATTAAAATCAGAGCTTTAAAAAAAAGTCAGAACCTATCCATTGACCATCATTATCAAGATCCCCAAAGTCAGTCTACATGGATAATCTGGATTAACTGCTGGTCTCCCCAATCAGGATTCAACTCATTCCTCTCAACCATTCACAGAAATATACCCAGGGCAACTCCAGCCCTCCTCTTCCAGCAGCTTCTAATGACATGATACAGTAATCCTCAAATACTAAGATTCAGTCATCGGATCACATCTAGGACACGGCCCCACCTGCACACAACCCAACGTCAACAACCTCACAAAAGTGCTCCATCGGCAAGACCGTCTAATTAACCAGAAAACTTCTATGAAAAAAATCAGATAAGCAGATGGGAAACAAGTCATATAGTCACTCATTTTAGGGAGGGAGGAGTAGGGAGTTATTTCGGAGAGAAAAATCCCACAAATGAAGAAATACTTGGAAATAAACCCAAGAAAAGGAAATCCTTCCATTTTTATGAAACATTCAACAATTAACATACAATACATGAGGCAAACACATCTGAAATATTTCATCAGTAAATTAAAATGGTAACTGATATTGTACATTTCGATCACAGCAGTTAATGGTGAATTTCACATACCTGCAAAAACAATCTTTGCTTTGTATTTCGGGATCCCCTTCACGGTATACCCCCATCGACGAGCAAGTTTGCAAGCAGTCTCTCCAGCCTCCACTCCTAGCAAAAGAGAACATCCCTCAGTTTTAAAAAATGCTTTAAACTATCAGAAAATTATAAGATTTTCTCAGCTATTTAACAAAAAAAAAAAAAAGGAAGTATTTTACCTGTATTCATAGGAAGAACTTTGTGGTAGTTGAAAAGTTTAGTAACATACTCTTCGTATTCACCGAGCACATTATTGTAGAAGGCCCTGGATGTTAAGGTCAATTTGTCCGCCTGACTTTTCAAAGCATTCACAATCTTTGGATGACAATGCCCTTGGTTGACAGCACTGTAGGCACTCAGAAAGTCAAAATATTTTCTGCCTTCTAAATCCCATACATAAATACCTAAAATATATAAGGAAAATAACTCTAGAAAAAAATCACTACATTACATAAAGTTCAAAGACTAAGACTGCTAGCCAGGGATTTCCCTGGAGGTCCAGTGGTTAAGACTCTGCGCTTCCACTGCAGGGGGCACGGGTTAGATTCCTGGTCAGGGAACAAAAA